ACCAATGTTGTCCCAATAAATTTAATTTTAAAAACTACCCTTTGGCAACAATCCCAGTGGTAACTGATCCGGGCAAGAATGATCTAAAACTGGTAGGTGCAAGGATACTGAAGAGCATGTTAGCATAGTCCCAGAATACGTCCCCGTAGAATACTGTTTGGTGACAACAGGGAAGTTGTGACTTTATAGAGAAGATACCTGATGGACACCACCTTGATCAAGTGACTGAACATCCAGGGTAATGGGCCAGTCAGAACCAGGTACCCCCTGGTAGAGTAAGCATCACTTCTTATGACAAAGACTTAGCATCCCGTCCATGGTATTCCTGCTCAAAATGCATCACCTGGATCTAATCATGAAGAAACATTGGACAAACCCATGTTGAGGGGCATTCTGCTACACATAGGCCTATAATCTTCAAGAAGAACAAGGCTATGGAGGACCATGTACTCGCACTAGTGCTCATGCCTCCCAAGGACTTTGCACACAGCAGACCCTTGACTCCTGTCTCAAGGTCATGGCACGTGATTTGCGTTGGGAAATAAAGCCAAGCCATGGAGATGTGGAATGCCCCTCCCTCCCCAAAGCAGCAGGAACACAGGCCCTGCGATGAATATGATGAAAGTAGATTTTCACAAAGGTTTTGATTGAAAAATGTTGTGGAATATCAGGTCGCGGAAGGGCAGAAATGAGTTGATTTAAAAGATTTCCCAGGGGATGGTTCCCAAGGTATTTTGAACACAGAGATAATAAAGTTTGAAAATGAATAGTAGCCCTTCTCTTTGGGAGCTAGCTGCCGCACACATTCTGGCCGACTCGGCGTTGTTTTATAATTGTGAGAATGGATAGTAACGATCAGAATTGCTCCAAGGTTAGCTGGGCATTATTACTAAGCAGTTTAGAATGCGGATGAAGAAATGCATAGGCTGGTCAGGGGCTCGGGGGTGTCAGGACAAAGCAGAGAAACAGATTTCCAGGGAAGGAGTTCGGGACGAAGGGGCGTGATTGGAGCCCTTGAAGTGTTACCTGAGCATGCGGCTGCTTGGTGTAGTTCCATGAGTTTGCTGTGTTGGGTTTACCTTCACCTTCTGCCACTAACCAGGTGCTGGTCCCTGGCAAAGGACTCAGCACCTGTCACTCTCCTACCCTGTCCGAATGGCAGTGGCTGTGCAGTGTTGTTGAAAGGAGTATGCCTTTCCAGCGACATATTCCAAAGGCAGAAAAAGCACACGTTACTCGAGCCTAAGGGCGTACCAGTGGAAGTGAGCGATTTCCTGGTGGTCTTCTGTATCTTAAAATGCAAGGGTGGGCCAAAGTAGGTTTATAGTTGTAAGTACATGAAAGACAGAATTTATGCTTATATTATTATTTATTAATTATTGTATTCTTTTCCATATGAACAACTGTAAACCCACTTTTGCCCCACCTTGTGTATGAACAGTTCACTCTGTACCGTATTTGAAACAGTGAGGCCCTTCAATACATTGTTAGTTCTCTTTCTTTTTTGGCCAAGAAATGCCATCCCCTTGGTTGGCCAGAGGACCCCAAACGCCCTAGTATTCTTCAGGGTCCTTGTGAAAGCCACAGATAACAAAGGAAGTGTGTCATATAGGCTTATCAACACCCGTTTATACATTAGTAGGGATTTGTGTGCTTTCTGTTGGAAATTGATGAAAAACTGGATTTGCTAAAAGGTAAGTTGGGCCCAGCCAGTGTGGCTCAGTGGATTGAGCATCATCCCATGGACTGAGAGGTCCCAGTCTGATTCCCAATCAGGGCACATGCCCAGGTTGCGGGCTTGATCCCCAGTAGGGGGTGTGCGGGAGGCAGCTGATTGATGTTTCTCCCTCACATGATGTTTCTTTCTCTCCCTTCCTCTCTCTCTAAAAAAAATCAATAAAAAACATATTTAAGCCCTGACCGGTTTGGCCTAGCAGTTGGAGCGTCGGCCTGTGGTCCAGGGAGACCCGAGTTCGGTTCCTGCTAAGGGCACGTACCTCAGTTGCAGTTTGTTCCTGGCCCTGGTTCGGTTGTGGGGGTGGCATCACTCGATGTGTCCCTTTCATGTCGATGTTTCTCTCTCTCTCTCCCTCCCTCCCACTCTATCTGAACAAAAAATGGAAAAATGTCCTTGGGTGAGGATAAAAAAAAAAAATAAAAATAAGAAGTAAGTTGGGTAATAGAATAAAGCAGATGTTTGGGGCAATAAACAGAGCGGAGGTCAAGGGCCGAAGCCTTGGACCTGGCCTTAACAGGAAGCCCACTGGCAGGGCAGTAGACGGTGTGATGCACACCTACCTGAACCCCCCGGGAAGGCATTGAAACTGCTGGCGCCCCAACCTGTCAGACAGAGAGACCGCAGCTACCGGATCACGTGAGACAGATGATGTGCCGCCATGCAGCTAAGATGTAAACCTAAAATTAAAATGTTCTATGAATGCAGAAAAGAAAAACAAATGAGGAGAGCTTGCTCTAATTCAGCTGTTCATTTGATGTCACTGTGTTTCTGGGGACACCTTTTTCTCCGTGTTATTCTAGCGCCCTCGACGTGTTAGCCGGGTCGTGCCCCCACCTCCCTCCTGCACACGCCATGGGTCTGCAGAGGGGAATAGCTGCAAGGGGAGGGCAAGCACGTACCCTGATGGGTTGCAGTGTGTTCTGGGGGCATCTGGGGGCATCTGAAGGGCAGTGGGGTCCCTTATGGGTAAGAACTCAGATTTCACCTGGGAACTCAACCCATGCACGTGCGTGACCTCAGGAACACTGTATACAAAGTGGCAAAACCACAGGGCCTGCTGGTCTCGCCTGGGAGAGCCTCCGCCTCCCAGAGCTCCCCCTGCTGGACTAACGAGTTGGCTCGTGAGCTCCCAGGCCAGGAAGCCAGGAGTGCCCCACAGTCACGCGTGTTGACTTCTGGGAGTGTGGAAGCCCCAGAGCGAGATGAGTGTGAGCCAGGGCCGAGAGGAAGGCTTGGGGCTACTGAGGGGAATCAGGGCAGGGCGGAAAGAGAGTCAGGTCCCAACTCAGCAGCGTGCGTTGGTCGTTAGGAATTAAACTCCTCTGTGAGGCAGGCAGTTAGGAAACCCCTGATCTGAGGTCCTTGTAGCTCCCCCGTGCCACTCAGACCCTTGTTACCCTGAGAAGAAGAGGGGCCTTTAACATCACAGGCATCTGAGAGAGATGCCAAAATGATGCCATTCTCTGCCCAGAAGTAGCCCTAAACCAACCTCTAGCCTGACTCCACTGCCTGCAGACTCCGAGGGCCAGGCCAGGAGGGCTTGGTAGGGGCAGGACGGACGGCCAGGCAGCTCAGGGCCTTGACCCAAGGACAGGCCCGGGAAAGGCAAGAGCAGGGAAGGACAGACGCGTATGCGGAATGGCTTTGTAAGCTGTAAAGCTACATGTGAAGAGGTGCTGATTATCACTGTCCCTGCACACTCGGCCTGGTGAGGACGTAGGACCCATGTCTCTGATGAATGGAGGGATTGAAGGAGGGTTGTCTGGAGGAAGAACGGAAAACCATGCTGTAAAAACTAATATGAATGGAGCTACTTTAAGATTCCAAGCTGGCATCCCAGGGAAACTGCCTTGTACCTCTTACTCCTCAAACCTTTAAAACACTGGGCATGATAACCTTTGGACTGAGCCTAAAGCATCAATGTATCCCAACAACTGTTTGGAAAGACAACAAGAAAGCAGATATTATGACTACCCGACTGATGACTATCAGACTAAAAATTAAAAACCTCTGCACCTATAGAAATTCCTTTCTTCTCTTGATGTAACTGTTTCCCTTCCCTTTCATGTGAATAACCCGCCTTGTCTTTGTCTCCTGATCGGAACACTCCTTGGCTTCTGTCTAAATCAGTGCTTCCCAAATAGCTGTTCTTTTCGATCTCAAATAAATGCGTGTTGCTCCTCACTTTCACCTTTTATTTTTAGGTTAGCAATGTTTATTCTTTTTCTCTTCCTGATTCCATCATTTTCTAATCATTTATTTCATGGCTTAGGAGTTTGTGAAGGGTTTTCTTTGCCTTTGAGAGAGTGATAAATATGCCTGGTAGGAAGGTAGGAAGGCTTGAAGAGCGATTGCTGTTAATGGCTAAGCCAGAGGAAGACTTATGGATAGCCTGACAGCGACCCAGTTCAGCTTGCCTGCAGCCCGAGACCACAGTCACCCGTGCTCTCCCTGTAGACAGGCATGCGCTGTGGCCCGGTGGCGCTGTGTGGCTGTGTGCAAACATTCTGACACTCCGCTCGGCTCCGCAAAGCAGTGTTCTCCTAGTGTTCTGCCAGCCTGTGGGTATAGCTGGGCTGTGCGCGTGGTTTGTGACGGGCGTTCACCCGAGTCTTTGGAAAAGGAGGTCGATAACATAGAATTTGGAAGGTGGTGGTCATAACGGGGGCCAGAACATATTATGGAGACACTCTGTGTTTCATTTTTAATTTGCAATAATGGATCTTGTAGTGAGCTTTCCTTGGCGGTTTTTCTTTTAAGATTTTTTTTGTAATTGAATTTTAGAGAGAGAGGTAAGGAGAGGGAGCAAAAGAGAGAAACATCTATGTAAGAGCAAAATATCCATCAGCCGCCTCCTGCACGCCCCCTACAGGGAATCGAGCCTGAAACCCGGGCATGTGCTCTGACCGGGAATCAAACCTGCAACCTTTCGGTGCATGGGATGACGCTCAACCAACTGAGCACACCAGCCAGAGGTTGACTGCTTTGATTAGAAAGGAGAAGAGCAAACTCATCTGGAAGTCTCCATACAACAGTTGAATTATTGAACAGGCTCTAATATATTAGTGACGGTTTGAAGTCTGTGTTGAGGAATAAGCATGAAGGTCTTAGGCACTTTCAGCCCGAGAGCCGTCCTTTGCTGGCTGTGATGGATGTAATGGTTTCCCAGGGGAGTCTCCTGGAACTTGAAAAGCTATCAGATCTTGAGTTTTCTAATCAAAAGCTGCTTCTCACTTTCCTTTGTCTCCCTCCTCTCCTGCAGTCCCAGCAGAAGTGCATTGTGGTCTTCGCCCTGGTCTGCTGCTTTGCCATCCTCGTTGCGCTGATCTTTTCGGCTGTGGACATCATGGGGGAGGACGAGGATGGACTGTCAGAAAAAAATTGTCAAAATAAATGTCGGTAAGAGGTAACAAACAAAAATTCTCTTTTAGGGGGTGGGCAAAAAAGAAAGAAAGAAAGAAAGAAAGAAAGCCAGAGGGTCCTGGACAGTGGAGAAGAAAATGCTGTAACCACAGGTGATCACCTGAGTTCGCCTTGGGTTAAGCGGAGGCCCGACTCTGGATCCACTGATACTCTTACCTTTAGACCAAAGAAATAGAAATGAGTGATGATTTCATTCGCTTTGCAATTTGGGCAGATTCTGTACAGAGGGATGGTGAACAAGATGGCATTTTGCACAAGTCTGCATTTCTGGAGGCCTCTGTGTGTGAGGTTCTCGTCTGTTCCGTGATGGCCAAAAACGAGAGCCCCAAATGCAGAGGGGCCACTATGCTACTTGTTACACCAAATGGAAATTAAAAAGCGCCATCTCAGAAACAAAATTCCAACTTAAAAGTAGGAGTTAAATAAAGAAGTATGTCTAGGAGGACACACAGGCATCTTCTCAACGGCAATGTGCACGCCGTTTGTTATCGATCTAGAAATGACAGCGGCCTTACCATGATATTCTGGGTTATGTCTGTGCGGTTACATTGAACAGCGCCTCCCTGGGCTCATTCGTGATGATGGCAGAACCAGCAAAGCATGGTTTTAGCCCACAAATCTCCTCATCTACTCAACACTGAGCTGCTACTTTCCTTTGAGGTCATGGGGAGGGTGCAGAAAGTCACCAAGCGGGGACAGATAAGAGGTCTATTTTTATATCCATGTTGCTGCAAAACTGAAGTCAGGCCACACAATTACAACAGTTATTATGACTTAGCCCTCATGATGGATTTTAATGACCATTTTTTCCCCGGTGGAAAGCATTTGTCTACATGCCTCTCGTTTCTAGCTCGAAATCAGCAACCTGGTAATGTGTATGTGAGTTTTCATCCTTGCTGTTTGGCTTTGAGGGTTGAGCGTCTGGCGCAAAAAATGTCTGGAAAAGGCAACTGCAGTTTGTTTTCTTTGTAGCGCACGATACTGTAGAGTCTGGTTACCAGGCAACTGCATTATATACAGAACAAAGGATACAGGAGAGACATGAGTATACATTTTAGATTTGTCCCTTCATGTTCAAAAGGTGCTCCTAAGTATATTTGTTTCCCAGACTGAATTTGAGAGAAAGCTGTATTGGGATCATAAGGAAAACAAGAGAACAATAGCAATTGTTGTCCCCCCCTCCCTGAGAGCTCTGGCCTTCTGTGGACAAGGGGCCAGTGACCCGCTCAGGGGAACGGCTCTGCCCCTCTCTCCCCTCACCCCAGAGTGAAGACTGCTGGGTACTCTGAACTTTATAAAGGTCAAACTGCAATAACTTCCTTAAGACAAAACACCCAGTGCCTTTTGACACACATTACAAGCTATAGGTGGTAGTTTAAAAAAAAAAAAAGGAGGGAAACTTAGACTGTCTCTTTCACTTGGGGGAAGCTATAATTTAATTTTTATTTTGAACTGGGATTTGGGTCTGGTTACTTCTTCCATCTCAGTCAGTAACTCAATTGATGACTCACACAACTTCCCCCTCCTTCCAGAACATAGTCTTCAGTTACCAACCTCTCTCCTGCTTCCTTCCGCCTGAGTGGTTGGAATCACGGCCTGGTTACCAAGCGCCGTCCCTGCCGGCCGCTGTCTTTTCTACAACAGCCCCTGCGGCCTTCCTGTCTCCTTCAGCCTCCTCCCGGGTCCTGGGTTTCTGATTCCCGCATTCTCGGCCATACAGCAGGCACGTCCTGTGTGTCTGACCTCGTCCCAGGGACCTGCTTGTTGCGCAGCTGTGAGTCCCGGTACCCCAGCTGGGTTCCAGGTCCTAGTGGGACAGTCCATAGTTCCACCATGTCTCTCCATCACTCTCATTTTAATGTGATGGGATGTTCTTACGTCGTCCACTCCGTCCTTATGATGATAGATCACGTTCTAACTTCAGGACTCTCTCCCACCTTCTTTTGTGCCTGGCTAACAGACCTCCCCACCATCAGCCCATCCCTTGCCACTGTCCTTAGTAACTCTAAAATGTACTTCCCAGCACCCTAGTCTTCCTGAGTTTTTTTGTTGTTTTTTTATTTTTATTTTTATTTTTCCTTTATTGATTTTACAGAGAGAGGAAGGGAGAGGGAGAGAGAGATAGAAACATCGATGAGAGAGAACATTGATGGGCCGCCTCCAGCACGCCCCCCACTGGGGATCAGGCTCACAACCCGAGCATGTGCCCTGACCGGGAATCGAACCGGCAACCACTTGGTGCGTGGGTCGACGCTCAACCACTGAGCCACAGCGGGCAGACTAGTCTTTCTGTTTTTAATCACCTCAAGTCGGTACATATCTGCCTCACCTTGGACCGGCCAGCAGTCAGCCCCACTTCCAAGTCAGCCCAGTGCAGGGAATGCCCGTGGACTTCGAAATCAGGACGACGGGGATTCACATCCACGTTCTCTACCACTTACCGACTCTGCACACGTGGACAAGACAGTACCCGAACCGTTTCACCCCCTGCCTGTCCGCGGAGCACGACGGGCTGCAGAGCAGTCACAGCAGGTGGTGAGCAGCGGGCAGAGCTCGGGTCAGACCTGCAGTGGAGGGTCAGAGGCTTGGGGGAGCGGCCTGACTGCACAGAGAGCGAGCCTGGCCCTGACTGAGCTCTGCCCCTGATGGTTATGAAGACCATTTTAGTTCATTTCCCTTAGAAATGGTAGGTTTGTTAAAAAAATCTACCTCACCAGGTTTTATGAGGCTTTAATAAGTTGTATAACACCTATAACAAGACATCAAAACTCTAACAAGCATTATGTAAATATTAGTCCTCTCTGTTCCTTTCAAAGAGTCAGAAGTCCCCCTCCTCCCTTCAGACTAACTTCCTGTTCCTCCCACTTCCTCGCTTATCCTGATCGGCTCTCCTGATGTTGGTGGAGTCAACGGGCCGACCACGTGGGAGCAGGCGGACTGTTCATTCAGAGCGTGCTGTCACACGCAGTCAGCCACTGTCAGCGGTGTCTGGCAGGCTCAAGGGCAGGCAGAGGGTGGGGAAGCTTCGTGGCAGCATAAAGGTAAGGCTCGGGTGCCCCAGCTGGAGGCTGGTCAGCTAGAGCAGCGTGGCATCCTATGCGGTTGGCTGGGAGTGCGGATTTGACTCTGGTCGGTCCTAGGTTGGGAGTGGGGACAAAAGTCAGGGCAACTGGCACTTATCAATCAGGTCCTGGCCATTTGGGTATAGAAGTTATTCTTCAGCTCTCTAGATTATTGCTGGAGGTAGCAGCCTGACTTAGACCAGGTTGGCTGCCCTGGCTGGGGATCGTAGATAAGAGGTTGGCTTCCCGGGCAGGTTGCTGTCGTGTGCAGGTCAGAGCCCTACTTTATATAGACGTGGTCTGGCCATTGTCCATTTGCATCTTCAGTCTCCCGGTTTCCGGAACGCCCTCCAGTACTACCAGCCCCTCTGTTTTCATTTTAAATGTTTTCATTTTCTTGTTACCCATTTGCTGGCCCGCGGCGCTTCCTGCAGCCTCCGGAAGCCCTCACTGGCCTCCTTGGAGCCTTTCCTCCAACCTCGCTGCCGGTTCCCACACTGGTGGTCCCTGGCTCCACCCGTCCTTGTCCTCGGGCAGCCTGGCCATTTCTGCAATCCCTCCACAGCCTGCAGAGGACAGTGAGTGTCTCTGTTCTTCAGTCCTAGGTTCCTCGGGCAGGGATGCCCTGGCGAAAGAGGGGAGACAGTTTGGGGATGCGCCCCACTGAGTACCCCGGCACCCATGTAGACCAGAAGGGAAACCACTGGCCTGCAGATGTCCTTGAGCATGCCAGCCCCAACTTAGCCCTGAGCAGAATTCCCACTCCGTCACCTCATCCTTTTCCTCGCACCGACCTCCCCAGACTCTGCCTCAAGGTGGCGCTAGGGAGAGCACAGGCGGCTGGGCTCCCAGTTACCCTTTACTTGGCTCTGGTAGTTTCTGTTCCTCCATTTCTCCTGTGGTGTCATTATCGCACCTTTGCTGAGATCTTATTCCTTTGACTTTGCAGTTAGGCTCCCTCTGGGTTCACGGATCTTCTCTCTCCTGAGAGTTGAAAGGATAGAAACCCTGTCAGCTGCTTTGCCCTGTTTTCACAGCCTCTTCCCAAGATCTCCCGTCCAGTGCTCAGTTTCTGAAATATGTTATTTAATTCATTTCATCTCTGCTGCCTCAAGTTACCCTGTCAACTCAGCGTCTCCCCAACTTCTTTATGTCTTTCTAAAACAAATGTACCTCCCTAATATAAAATATCCTATTTATGCCCTGGCCGGTTTGGCTCAGCGGTTGGAGCGTCCGCCTGCGGTCCGGAGAGACCCGGGTTTGGTTCCGCTAAGGGCATGTACCTCGGTTGCAGTTTGTCCCCGGCCCTGGTTGGTTGTGCGGGTGGCAGCCATTCGATGTGTCCCTTTCACATCGATGTTTCTCTCTCTCTCTCCCTCCCACTCTATCTGTACAAAAAATAGAAAAATGTCCTCGGATGAGGATAAAAAATATATATATATATCCTATTTATAATTTTTCTGCTGGACTTATTTTATTTCTTTCCCCCTTTTATTGCTTTGCTGCTATAATACTGAACTAATAGTACAATAATGATACCCTCAGTGATCGCAACTTCCACATGAATCTATAAAATAAAAACTCTCCAAACTTGTCCTCCAGCTGCCTTTACCCAAGCTCAGTTGCTATGCTCAGAAACGAGGTCTTCTGACCTCAGTACATGACTTCGACCTACTTCTCTGTTTCTTTGTGCTGAATTCCTGTGTACTTTCCATCATCTCCTAGTGTGTTTTTAATTGCTGATTCAGTCCCTAGAAATATAAACCTCCATGTCACTTGATTCTCTGAGGGGGTGAAGGCAGATGGTCTCCGTTCTGCTAGGAACCACATCTCGGTGGGCGCTGGGGCGTCCCTGGGTAGCAGCGGCTGCTTCTGCTGGTGTAGACTGCATACGTGCCACGGCTTGGCTAGGCT